ATTCTTAGCCGTAAGAAATTGACCAATTACAATCGAATGTGAGGAGAATACTCTACTATGATCGGTCAATTTTTTACGTGCTTAAAGCTTAAGTTTTACGCCTTAAAATCTCATTGTAGGCGCCACTTTACACAACAAATAATTATATCATCATATAATATATTAAATATGGAAAATATATTTAAAAAATAATAAAGTATATATATAAATATAAAATATACAAATATATAAATTAATATAAGTAGATTCATAATAAAATATACTTGAAGTAATTCAAATAATTTATTAAAACTTTAAATAATTTTTTTTTTTAAAGCATCATAGATAATGTTAAAAAAATAAAACCCATGCAGTAATAATAAACTAATATACAATTTACCAACTTTTAAAAAGCTATTAAGTAGCTTTCAGTTTAATGAATCAGGGGACTATTTAAATGTTTATATATGTATAAAATCCTTAATAAATAAAATTTGTTATAAAAAATAATGTATGACGTAATATCTCTTAATGCAAATCTAATACTGTCATCGAGAATTATATTTTACAAACGAGGTTCTGATTATGCACGAGTATTAGACTGGCCTTCTAATTATCTTCTACGAGTCACTAATTACTGATAAAGCTACGATAGAAATGCATTGTGCTAGTTACAGCATCACACCAGTATCCCATGTTGTACAGTTAATTGCAGCAGAGAAGCGATCTGCATTCTATCGAACGTTAGTGTGGGAAATTTCAGTACATTTATATCTGTCTACAGTATAATAGAATTTCGGAAATTCGAATCACCAGTCATACATGAATTAAATAATATATTAATTAATATATAAATATCTTTGTAAATATAAATTTTTATTATAATTTGAAGGTACTTTATTTCTTGTCTTCGCTATATCATATCCATTATTCTAGACTTTAACATTATTTTTATATTTAACACAACCTCAAAAATCATGCAATTCTTAATCCTTTAATTTGATTAAAATATGAAAATATTTTATTCTTTGCACTCGACATATTGTTCGAACTTTTGTTTTAATCTTCTTTTCATATTCACCAATTATAACGATATTTAAAAACAATGGAATTTACTTTGTACATTTTTTTAAAAAAGTTAACCGTGTTATACCACGTGGTACATATTATAATAAATCGATACTCTTTTTTACATTTAATTTTACGTTTATGCCATCCCTATTTCAGTTTTTAAAATGCCATCGTGTAATTTTTTGCAGATAATTTATAGTGCTAATTGGCACAGTAAGCTGATATAATCTAATTATATGGCGCGAGTTTCCAATTACCGATTGTATCGCGATGACGATCGATTCTTACATTACGCTTAACCATTTAGTTAACACAACCTTTGGTGACGATGAGTAATAATACTGTCTGATGAAACTAATTTGATACAACAATAATATTGATCTTAAAAATACATTAAACTTTAATTACATCACATTTTCTGAGCATTTTCTCTGACTATAAGTTCTTTTAAGAAATTTTATTTTATGTGATATATACATAATACATATATTTATCAGTTATTGTAGTAATTAATATTGTCAATAAAACAAGATTAGTAAAAAGGCAATAGGAGTCTACCTCTGGTTATTAAAAATTTCGAGTTTATTATAATAAAAATATCATCTAACTCTCTCTCTCTTTGTACGTTTCGACTCCAATTTTGAGTCATCTTCAGCAATACCGCAACAAAATATACAGCACATTATAAATCGTAGTCAATATCTCAATCTTTGCAATTTTCCATATGTGCGGTTACCATAATTTCGTGAGATCGTGAGTACGTTATCCAACACAGTTGGTTGGCTGAGTGGCAATAATAACTCAAGCTAAAATTTTTAAAACAGTACAGAAATTAACACAAAATAGAACCACAAAAACTCCATCAACCCATCTCACGAAACCAAGCAACTCGCAACAATCCGAATCTGTTTTATACAATATTTCACAGTGAAACACATCACTATCTTTTTATTTTAAATTACACGATTAAAATAGAAGCAAGTCAGTCTCGCAAGTACAGTATTACGCTTCTATACATTAAGATACGTGTGCACATTTATAATGGTCGAACAACAAAACATCTAAACTTTGTTGAGGATTTCCATGTAAGCGTTACTTAAGGCGATGCTAAAGCCTCCTGTTTTACCACATTTCCATTCGGTGAAAAATCTCTGTATTGGATGTACGGATTGCAAAAGTATTATTGCTTAAAGTACGCATAAGCTGCACTGGATTTCCTGAGAAAATCGAAAAAAAGTTTCAGATTCGTTAAAAATTCACTTACTTTTGGCTCGTACAGCTGTCCCCTCAGATATATATTTGCTTGATATAAGAGTTTTAGAGGCCATATCTTGAAAATAAGCGTGCAGCTGAGGTCACATTATTGAAACGAACGATACCGAGTTTGTAGAACTAAGATTGAAAGTCTAGAAAAGAAATATTTCCACCGAATAGAAAAGGTATACAGGTGTTTTGCGAAGACTGGGACTGTCAACAGAGCCGAAATTCCGTGTAGCAGTAGTTGCGCGGTCTTGCGATAGATGGTGCTGGCATATGTTAGATAAGAACAGATGTATGCGTTTGAGTAAGACAGAATGATATATATTAATGTAAAACTAAATCAAAGATGTCACCACTATTATCGAAATTGGAATTTAAAAAGTCTACTATCGATCTTGATTGAGTTGGGTAATCGGTTTAGCATCCCCTTAAGGCTAAAGTATTCGTTTAAAAATTTAAACCATTAATCTGTTTTTATATGTAACATTTCCGATGTTATACGCTTATTGTAAAAACCTTCCACATCCAAAATCTCAATATTGTTCCAATCAAAGTTGTGATCATAATGCTATCCTATGTTCCGTAATAACCGAATGAGATGTTGCTCTAATAATATTTTTCTTATGTTTCAATATTCTAGTTTTTAATTTTCTGCCTGTCTGGCCCACATAGGATGCATCGCAATCAGAACAATTAATTTTGTAAACAACATTCCTTTTCATCATTTTAGGTAACGGATCTTTGTAAATTTTTACGAATTGTTTTAATTTATTTATACTGTAAAATGTAACTCTATTGCAGACACCATTAATAATATCCTGAAATTTCTTGGAAATCCCCTCTATAAACGGAATGGAAAATCATTTTACCTTTTCTCTTTGTGCTTTAGCTACTGATTTCTTTATCGTTGAATTGGATCTACCAATCAATATTATAATCCTTTTATATATTTATGGTTTTAAAAATAAAATACAATCGGTAGTCATTATGTATTAAAATATTAACTAACAATTCCCAATTCTTATTGTGAAAAAATCGGATGTGAAAGGTAAAATATTCTGTCCACAAGATTGAAAATTAACCCCTTTTTGGGGGAAATCGGATGCTAAGACCAATAATTCAAATACCTATTCGAAAAGGTAGGTTTTTGGTACCAATCAAAAATTAATCTATTATCTTCCATAATTAAACTTATGTCCAAAAAATTAATAGAATTCCCCCCAACTTCCATTGTAAATTGTAATCTCCCATGATAAGCATTAAATTTGTCAAGAATAAAATCAGTCTGATCAATAGATACGCAACACATTATATCGTCAACATATCTATAATAAAAAGGAATAATAGAAAATTCGAAGGTACTCAGCACACAATTCTCCAAATCACACATTACCAAGTCGACAATTATCGGCGACAATGGGGAACCCATAGGAGTACCATAAGTCTGTTTATAAAACTGATTGTCAAAAGAAAAATACGTGGAATCTAAGACCATTCCAACTGCTTTTAAGAATTCATTTTCAGGTATTTTGCAATTGTTACTAATAAAATTCCATCTATTTTTTAGTGCCTCAATGGCCAAATCAATCGGAATGTTAGTAAATAATGAAATAACATCCAACGAAATCAAACAATAATCCGGATCTGTCTTAATTTTGTTCAGATTATGTACTAAATCGAAACTATTATCAATGTTACTAAAGGACTTCGGAATACTTTTAACAATCAATTCATGTATAAAAGTCGCCAAATTGTAAAGGGTACTGTCAATCGAAGATATAATGATACGATACGGACAATTCTCCTTGTGTACCTTCGGCAAGGCATAAGCCCTGTATATTTTGTTGCGGTATTGCTGAAGATGACTCAAAATTGGAGTCGAAACGTACAAAGTTAGATGACATTTTTATTAAAATAAACTCGAAATTTTTAACAACCAGAGGTAGACTCCTATTGCCTTTTTACTAATCTTGTTTTATTGATTGATTTAAGGAGTTGCTAACTTGTTTTAGTTTAAATTAAATTAATATTATATTAATTTATAATATATTCTAGAATTATTATGTGTGTATTTTACTTTGCTTTCAATTTCTTCGGTAATAAAATATTTTATTTTATTATATATCTCATTTTTATGTAAAAACGTAGCAAAATATATTTTTTACATACAACATTATAGTAGAATATTAATTTATATATCTGTAAATGTATATTTTATTTGATTACATTTTACTACCTTCTTTACTTTTAAAAGAACTAAATCTCTCTTGATTATGAAATAATTTTGTTTTAAGTAGTTTATTTAAAACGTTTATTAACCGGTCTATACATAGAAGTATACCATTTAATGCGTAGATTAAATGACTAACATTTTAAATTTCTCCTCCTTCAAAAAAGATTAAGTATGCATTAATCATGTATCGTTTTAGCTTGTTAGTAAATAATCATTTTATTTCTTTTCCTTGTAATTTAGAGTTACATCATGACTTTGTAATACTCCCCAAGTAGCACAGCAACGCTTACAAAGCGCTAAAAAAGTAATTATATGTGCTTTTTTAGCACTTTGTTGACGCTTTGTAAGCGCTGTGTGCTACTTAGGTCTTTTACTCTTTTTATTGAAATTATTCTCTTTTTTAATGAATTTTACTCAGTTATTTCCTAATTTAAAAAGGAGGAACTATGTTACTCACTCTGTCTGATTATCCTCAAACGTCAAGCTGCCTTCGGTATGCACATATTGCTTGCCAGGCTTCGCAGTGCCCTCCATAGTACGATAAGGGATAATAACGCGACCTCGGGCCCCACTATAGCGCACTATCCGCAGAGGATGCTGACCCACGCTCTCCACTAGTTCTACATCTCTCTCGGGAAACCCAAAAATGCCGCTGTGATCGTCATCCAGAATCATTACCGTTGCTAAGCTCGGCGAGACAAGCATTGCTGGTTGTGATACATTACTAAGCCTGAAAATTAGAAAATATTATCATTAGTTTGTGAAAAATTATACTGACTTCAACAACAAAAATCGCTTCCACAAATTCGGCACAATAATAACATATAATTAAAAAAATTTTTTCAAACAAAGAGATAACATTGTAAATTATAATCATCTATTTTTAAAACGAAAGTAAATATGTCAATTTTATACAATAAGCGTTATTTATTAATCGATTTTGCAATGACTAATACAAATAAATTTCTCGCTTGTCAAATTGACCTTGGATTACACATATTTTAATTTGCAGCTCGACAAATCTTTTATTTTCTATCTAAACATGTCATTCGGGGTAGAATACTTTAATCAAGTTCACAGGTAAGCTGGTCTATAATTTCAACGTTCGTATTTGTTATTCAAAAGAGTATTCATCCAAGATTTTATTTTTATCTGTTGATCTCGTTTGATACAAAGATACTTTCTATCATTTATTCTTACTATTTAATTTCTTATATCTTCTTTATAATATATAAGTAACACGTGCAATTTTTATAACAGATATATATTGTACATATTATAATACGTATATATAATTATATAAATTACATATAATTAAAATTTTTTCCTCAACAATATTATTTTATATCTATTTGATCTTTCATTTGTACTAAAAATTAATTTTTATTCAACTTGTATTAAATTTTCATATTTTTTTCTTTATATCTAAAAACACAGAAATAAAATGTCCTTGTAATTCTAATATATAATGCCTTACCACATAATATAATATAGACAATATCGTTCTGTTTTACTTTACATTATTATAACTATTCACGTACATGTGAGAGAATAGACTATTAATGCCAGTAACAGTCTTTAGATTTTTTTAGAATTATGACACGTAAGAAGATTATCAAGTAACAATAGTTTTCTCCTCGACCTATATCACTAATAATCGGTAGAACTCTTTATTACCGTAATTGATGCAGAAATACAATGCAATTTAACTTCTTTGTACTTTGTTATTTTTCTCCGATTTTTCTCTCGATCCGAATTATCAAGTACGTTTATCAGTACGTTTTACTTATAGATTTAATAGCACATGCACGTGTGATTTCCGCACGACCTAGCAATGCAATCTGACATGCGAGGAAAAGTTGCAAATAACAGAAATAAATAATCGGGTCACCTAGCCGAAACAACACGAACCTGCAGTTTCCAATCGTGGTGTGAAATAGAGGGATCTATAGATTGTATATAAAAAGAAACGCATGTATTGCTAAGGAAAAAAACGAGACCGAAAGAGACCATAGAAGAAACAACAAAAAAAGATGAAATATAGGGAAACTAAAATACATCTAAAATTAACCACATATTCATAATTTCACATTTCTCATTATTCTAAAAGTATTTTTGTGTCACAAAACTATTCTATCGTGATTTTTTTCTATATAAACATGTTGCTTTAATCCGAGGACCAAGTTTTATTTCTGTGACATCCGATAAAAATTTCAAGCTCTTTGCATTTTTATATTGGCAATGTTAAGTGAAAATAAAGTACAAGTTTAAAAAACATGACGTTCAGATAAATTAAATGTTTATGATTTGTATGTGCAAAGATTCTTCTGCGTTTTCCAGAAATTAATTTATAATTCGATTAGATGTAAATCCATGAATTTTCTTGCAATTTTTCTGCGAAAAACGTTTGTCAAAAAAATATATTTTTAATAATTATAAAAATTGTACAGCTCAATTTAACAGCTTCAGTGTCATATATTGTGTATACAAAAGTATAATACATAATCCAAAGGTTAAGTAATCGTTTTCCCATATCATCGCTATTCAGCTTTAGCAAACAAAAAATTTGTTGTAAACAAAATGAAAACATGATATAAAAGAAGCAAATATAAAATGTGTTGATATCATAATTAAATAATCTATAAAATGTATAAAATGTATGTGTAAACATATCTGTGCAACATAATTTATAAACTAATGTTAATATTAATTATTGTGTAGGTATATTATTATATATTTTAAGTACATGATGTAAAATACATGAAATTGTGTTAATAAATAAATAAAAATATTTAAAGATAAAAATATTTAAAGAGTAATATTAATAAAATAATTAATTGTGTTGATTTATTAAACACATCAACGTATTAATGAATTGTTTTTTAACTTTTCGAGTGTATCTCTATATCTTTCAATCAAACTTGCATATTATATGTAGTAATATTAACGACTTTACAATATGAAAAAAAGAAGCATAAAATCACAACACAAATTGTTATTAGTGGTATGTCATATATTAAAATTCAACAATATTCATAACGACTTTAATTGTATTAAATATAGCCATGCTAGTAGCCACCCTTAACATCTTTCATTAAATCAATCAATAACAGCTTATTTACTGATTAAATTGCAACTACTACTCGTTTGAAATCAATTGAAAGATTGCCCTTTCGTCGCTGATCAATGATCTTGTATGACTACAATGAACTATGTCCAATATAGATATATTTTAAGAATTATGCTTTCTTTAAAAAGGAATATTGATATAATTGCAGTTCTTAATCAGCACACGATAATTATATTGGATGCCTTATGGCGTTGCTTTTAGCCTCTTGAAATAAATTATCGATAAAAACTCCAATATTCGAATATATAAACATACTTTACATTAATGTTATTATATAAAAAAAGGAAGAAAGAATAACTAGAAATATAGGATTTGCCGCAAATTAAATTTCGATGGATCAGATAAGTAGATGTGTAAAATTAAATCTCTCTTATTCTTTATTTAATTTCAGGTAGACTTTATTGTAGTAAATTGTAATTTTTTTATTGATATAAAATATAGTTATTCAAATATTAAAGTTAGAACTTTCGAAATACCACATTTCGCAGAAATGTGATATAAAACAATGAAACTTTGGTAAAAATAATATCAATAGAAATAAAAAATCAATTTAAAAAAGTATACCATTTCATAAATATCTCATGTTGAACAAAAAATAGATAAAAATAAACAATAAAAGCGAACGCGGTTATCAGAGCACAGTGGTTAGAGATTATTATTAAAATCATATATAAGTATCGCAATTACAATTGCATGATTACGATTGCGGTTACGATACTTGGGAAAAATTTTAACAATAATATATAAACACACTGCGCTCCGACATTCACATTGGCTCTTATTCGATATTCTTATCTTTTTTTTAACTGATATATCAATATCCTGACCGTTCTGATAACTTTAACAAAGCAATTTACAACAATTTTAAGCTGTATCTTTTTGAAAAATGAAAAATGCAAGAAGTGTCAGAATGATATATTTTAACTTTTTAATTATGAGCATCATTAAGTCTTATACGCGAATATAAAATAATATAATAGCTTTGTATAAATTATAAACTTTGTAATTTAAATTTTATTTAATACAATGTGTAATTTTCAGTAATTATGAATAATACATCAAACTAACAATAATATTAAACTGTTTTTCATTTTTATCTTTGCACAATTCATTGTATATCTCCATTTTTATTGATAATACGAAGACTAACTGGAATGACATTTTATTTTTATTGTTTTCCTCATTTCCAGGTATTTGATATACCTTAAAATAACGACCTTAATATTTCTTCGCTAAAATGGTTCGAATTTCTCTAACATTGTATATATTCTATCATCATAAGTGTTTGCAAAAAGTGATTATCACTTACCTCACGTAAAAATGTTCATCCTCCTCGAATAACTCGTCATCGATAACTGAAAGCTTGATAGTCTTCATGGTCTCGCCAGACTCAAAAGTCAGAGTGCCCTTGGCACTCACATAATCAGATCCCGCTTCAGCGGAGCCATCTTCGGTGCAATAATCCACAGTGCAGGGTCTGCTGAGATCACCTCCAGCCCTGGAAACGCCCACTTCAAAGGTCCCAACGTTCTCCATCACAGTATAATGACCAGGTTCGAAAAATACTCTCATGGCGTTGACATGTTCGATATCGATACTCTCCGCTTCAGCTTTCTGCAACTCGGCCTTGACCTCGCTAAGGTCGCTCTGCGCTCTTTCGCTGATCTTCCTGCTGAGGTTGCCCGCGCCTACCATCTTCCTCGTAGCCTGCACTCTATAAAAGGCCCTGCTCTTAGGACCTTTTCCCAATACCTCCTCGTGAGCCATGACTTCCAATTGTTCCAGAGCCAAAGTAGGGTACTTTTTACGCAGTTCCTTTAATGTATTGATGTAATCTCGGCGAGTTTGCTCGAACTCTTTCGCTTCGGGAGAATCGCCGTCGGCTAGGCGGTCCACCATGCCGTGAAAACCATCTTGCTGAGGCTTGATTTCCAGCTCCACCCCCATCTCGGAATCCCCAGCCTCCGCCTGCACGATTACACCCCGCTTGTTCATTCGGTAACCTTTGTGCAGATACTTGTAGATCAGCAGTCGTCGATCAGCAACGTAAGCCGTCAATACTGTGGCTGGGAAGAAGGCGAAGGTCAAGATGCCTTCCCAGATCTCCAGTACACCGGGACTGGAAACCGCCAGGATAACGTAGAGCCATACGTAGGCGAAGATGCTCCAAGTGGCGGTGACGAAGAAAACGCGCAGGTGTTTTATCTTCCGAGTCTCACCATTGGGAATCACAAACACGCATAAGGAAATGATAACAAAGAGATTGTAAGCGGCGGAGCCAACGATCGTGCCCGGGCCCAGCTCACCCGCTTGAAAGTTCTTCGCCCAAATTTCAATGATGGACAGCAAAATCTCGGGAGCACTACTGCCGAGCGCCATTAAAGTCAGATTGGCTACCGTTTCATTCCACACTCGCACCACGATGATCTGCGGCTCCCTCCCATGACGACGCACCACCAATTCTTTCTCCTTGGACGTAATCACCTCAATGGCAGCCATAAAACGATCGCTAATGATCGACACGCCGATGAACAGATATAACAGCAAAAAAAAGTACACCAGGCCCCGGAAGATGATGTCGATTAGATGCAAGTTGTTCTCCGGACGCCAGAGCGGTATCACTAGGCCCGGCTCGCAGCGCACCGAGTAGTTCCCAGACATATTGTCAGAGTTGTATGTCGAAAATTCCGGCTGGAACTTGACGCGGTCTTTCTTTCAGTAAGTTACTTGCCGTCTCTTCGGGAATAAAACTCCGCGTGGAAAAATCTCGTTCTTCATTCGGACTGACTCAGGGCGATCTTCCCGCGGCGTTATTATCTTGATTGGCGGCTCGTTTCCGAGGGATGAAAATTCGAAAAATTTACTTCCTATTCGAGGAAAAGGACGAGAAGCAAAATAGATTTCTTTTTTCGAGCCTCGAAATAAATAATCAGACTTAAAGACTATCTTCTCTCATTTATTATGTTTCCCTTGCATAAATTTTACTCTCTATTACATCAACATTGACTAGCGATATTCACCGATATTCACCTCTAACGTGCGAAAAGCGTAAACGAAGAATCCAATCTTCCGCATGCGATGCAAGTGTGTTTGTTTTTGCTGAAAGAAGGGCGATGACGTCTCGGAATTACCCCAGTCGCGGGTACAACAACGATAATACCATCGAACTGCAATTTTGTACCAGCTAATTTTTTCCCTCAGCTTCCTTACCGACTAATTTCGTTTTCTAATCAAGTCTTCGACATCGTATCCCCGTCAAATTGGCCTTGGAGTATTTTTGCTGTGTGTCACTGCCCTGTCCTCCCCTGCACTCACGCACTCCCGCCCTGCTAACACCCCTCTCTTTACGCACGCCCGCTCGCACCCTCGGAAAGACAAGCTAGTACCACACGGATAACACTGAGAATGGTATATCGGCGTTGGGAATCGGCTACCGATGGCACCCACCGATATTACCGCGGCAGTGAGCTCCCATCACGAAAGCGGACCCTCTGACACGACGGGGTAACAGAACCGTACCGGGCCGCGCTCGAACGAACACTGAAAGAGGAGTGAGAGAAAGAGAAGAGGCTAGAGGAGAGAGCGGCCAGACCGAGTGGGGAGTGGTGTCTCGAGCTAGCCAGACGTGGCCACCCCATCTCTTTGCCCTCCTCCTCTCGCCCTTTAGCCTTCTCCCGTATCGCTCTAGTCGCGTCCTCGTCGACGGCAGTGCGCCGGCGATACTCCTATCTCGGTCCTCTCCATCATGCCGACGGTATCGCCGACCTTGTCTCGGCGGTACTTCCGTCCCTATCCAGTTCACAGCATCGGTAGTATTCCCCTTCTTGTCAACTTCACTATTGTAACGATCCTCCATCTTTCTCCACCCCCATCAGGCTGACGATACCACCGTCCTCGTCTACTCGACTAGGTGTTACCACCGCCCTCGTCGCGTATCTCCATCCTCGCCTACTTCATCACATCAAGTGTTTTACCCTCCTTGTCGACTTCGCTGCACCCGACAATACCTCCGAACTCACGGGCGGTATCTCCGGTTTGCATCGTTTTCCCGAAGAAATGCCGCCTCTCTCGTATCTATGCGCGTCTCTCGAGTTACGTTTTACATGGCGCAGGAGTATCTTGTATTCATTTATACAGAGTAACAAGAATACAGCTATCCTTTTCTAGCGACACTTCTCTTTTCTTTTTCATCCCTCGTTTTTTCACCCCGTATTTATATCATTGTCCTCGTCGAACCCTAACACTTTACCTTTTTTTTGTCCCTCTCTTTCTCCCTTTCTCTTTCTCGCCCTCTTTTATCTCTCTTTCTCTTATTTTATATCAGGGGTGGCTATACACAACGGCAAATTTCTCATGTATAACTTCTACGTTCTAATAAAATAATTTGACTTCATGTCTGACAAATTCAAACAGACAACGTCGTATATATATATATATATATATAACTTTTTTAGAAAATCTGCGTCTAAATAATGCTAAACCAAAAATAGCTTTGCATACAAAGAATTGTACATAACAGAGATGGGGATATACAGAGAATAGGAAAAAAGAAAGAAGGGAAAGGAAAAATAAGGTAAAGGAGTGTTAGGGTTCAACAAGGACAATGGTATAAATATGGGGTGTGAAAAAAAAAAGAATGTGATAGATAATATAGAGGATAGATAATTTTCTATTTTTTTAAATATGTGTAGGAATGTTGTATGTAAATACAAGCTTTTATATGTACATTTAAAAAATAAGACACAACTTTTATTTAAAAAATAAAATGTATACAAACATATGTATATGTATATGTACAGACTTTCGTCTTCTTCATATTATGTTTATATATATATTAATATTTTGATAATACATAAACAATTTTTACATCGAGAAAGTATGTAATTTGCCATAGGAGTTTGTAAAAGCATATAAGATTATATATGTACGAGAGAGAAATAAAAAAAAGAGATTGTTTGTCTCAATAAAAATTATTTAAATAAATGTCGAGAATATTTCGTTAATATTTAAATTTTAATTTATGTAATTAAGAATTTTATATATCTGTAATTTATTTATTTTTAAAATATTTCGGTTGGTAATTTCAGATCTTGACAGCTTCTTTCGAAAATAATTTTTTCAATTTATATCTTAATTTTTCTTTATATATAAATTATATAAATTTAATTTAAAGTTTTCCTGATAACACTTTTAGTAAAGGGTGAATCTCATAAATAATATAATTTTAATTGTTATCGTTCTAAATGAATCTATTCAAATTGCCTCTCCCCTTCCAAGGTCATTATCTTTGTCGTTCTTAGATCCTTTCCATTCCTCTCTCAAACTACCCATGCCTTTCCTTCCCACATTCTCTATTCTTGTTAGAGCTTGCATTCTCATTGCATCTCCATCCTTTAAACCAGGAATGCCAGGAGAAGAAAGTCAATTTCATATCTACAATCAAATTCTCATAATGATTTATTATTAAACAACTATTATTAATATTTTTTTAAATAATTTAAACTTTTCTTTGACTAATCAAATTTTAATTATAAAATAATTACGAAACGTTGTGTGTAAGAATTTATTAAAACAAGAAATTAGGATTAAAATTTTGGCACAATTCTTCTGAATGAATCTCTCCCTCTTATAAAGTTTATGTATGCGCTATTGCTTTAAAATTCGATCCTTGTCACACTGAGGTGTCCATCCCCTTCTCGTTCTCGTTGTACCGCGCCCTCTTCTCATACCTCAATTTTCTCTGCATGATCGCGCATGTGCGTCACCCAGTGCGCAAGATACACCCTGAAAAGGGTAGAAGCTCGCCTCGGTATCTTGCATCTAGCTAGCACAGATAAATTCTAGATCAAGCGAATTTATATGAGGCAGAATAATTGATTATTTTTCTGATTATTTTAACATCGATCAATGAAATCATTATTAATCAAGTTTTTGTTATTAAAATTCGCCATTAATTATATATATTACACTCATAAAATAAAAAATTATTGTTGTTCTTATCAAATTGATATTTACTTACATTTTAAATCTACATTTTGTAATAAAAATATTTATTTATTAAAAAACAATTCTTTCAGAATTACGAAGCATTTAGCGAAAATATAAATTATTAACGTAATATTAACGTAATATTATATTGTATGAAAGTGAATATTAATCAATACGGTAAAATTAATTTTCTATTTTTATTTATCTTTAATTAATAAACATATGCGGATTTCATAAAAGTTTTCAGAATCTTTTTGATTAATTTAATAATATATGTAATTAAAATACATTTGTGAAACTTGTAATGTGATCACTTTTTGATTAATTAATTGATGATTCATCAAAATTGAAACAATTGTAGCTCTGATTACATTTGATACATTTCTATTTTTAATGTTTATTATATACATATATATAGGGATTTACAATTGAATTACAATTACATAGGGATTTACAATATATTTAAAATAGAAAAACGCATAGATCGAGTTACCTGGAACGATTGGAATGGATTAACAGATGGTATGAAATGTAATGATGGACTGTAAATATTAATTAAAAACTAAAGATTAAATACACGAAAGTTATGTCACAAATAGATTTAAAATGTAAAAAGTAACTTAAATTAGTTAACTAAAAAAAACTACGTTACCGTTATATTCGAAGAAAAGAAATGCCGTTATTAAAAAGAAATAACTGTAAAACGGTATTACTTTTTATTTCTAGCTCTATAGGATTATATAAACATAATTTATATATAATTTAAATGCGACGGAAGACAGACGTTTTTGATTATACTTTTGCACGACATGAAATGCATTTAATCTTGTAGGATGGCTTCGCAATGCGGAATGGGAAAAAAAATGAACTAGAAGATTTTACCATCTTCATGAAAATCGTAGAGACTTCTGGAATTTTGATATGCACGAGCTTAAATATTACGCTCGTTTCATGCACCATATTTGCATTTATTCTGCGACGTCGCTATCGTTAATTCATGCTGCGAAATAATAAAAATTTTTTTAATTGCAAATCCATCACATTAACAAATTTTTAAAACACTGGCGAAAGATGTTATTGTTTCATTATTTTACAAATATGAACTATCGGTTTTAGAATAATTTTTTGTTAGTCTTTAAAAAAATATGAACAACTTTTCATGAGTATAAATTAAATGTTCAATGAATGAATTAAAAAAATAGTTAAAGGACAGTTAAATTAGTCTATGTGTTAATATTAACAGGATATACAAGAATATTTACGTGAATATAATTTTACATCCACTAATTACATATACTAATATATATAAGTTCATTATGAAATGTTTTTATTTTAAAAATCATACAAGCAAAGAACATATAATTACGCACGCATTTATTATAAATTATCTTATTCGTATAACAAATCAAACTAACCAAGACTCCTTATAAATCAAAGAATTGAAAAGGGCTCTAGGAGTCAGGCGCAGAAGACGCCGCGCAAACAACACACTTATGAAGCTTGAAACTTCTTTATTTAACAAACGCGCTTACATGTTTCGACTCATTTTTTTAGCCTTCCTCAGAACAAACACAAATATATAAAGTAAAAGTTATCCTGTCATGGTGAGCCTACATCAAGAATTTCAATGCCAGAATTAAACAAAAAGACAGAAAAGGAAAACGAAAAAGAAGGGAAATATTAAAAATGTCGAATTAAAGAATATAGAAACTAATTTATCAAACAACTTTAATAATATAATTAATTATCCCGAAAATAGGGACGCTCACCACGATTACAAAGTACCGTATCGCAAACATTATCATGAATAATTCAAAAATGAGTCAAAACATGTAAGCGCGTTTGTTAAATAAAAAAGTTTCAAGCTTCATAAGTGTGTTGTTTGCGCGGCGTCTTCTGCGCCTCTGACTCCTAGAGCCCGTATTTTTTCCAATTCTTAAATTATCTTATCTTATAGAGCAATACATAATGATGCATAAAATGATCAAGCGTATAATAAAGTATTAGCGAAGTACAATAACAATATAATGAATTCGAATAATGTACTTTGCTTTAAGTACGTAATTCATTAAGCATATGAAGCACTACAAAGCGGTAATGATTATTATTTGATTTCTATTTGTAAAACTAATTGTAAATTACGAAATTAAGATTTAATTATTTGTATGGTAAATTATTTGTGATAAAAACAAAATTATTTGCAAATTTATGTAAGTTCTTGCTAAATGAGTTACATAATAAAAGGTGATTTCATCAAAGATATTTATTAGCGAAATTAAAACTGAAGTATAATACTTATTTCATTATTAAGCAAGGTTTGTTTGAAATATTTTAAAACTATTAAAACCGATATTTTTAATAAAGATACAAATTATTTTTCTAAAATTCTTTTTAAAAGAATATTTTTCTAAGTCGTAAACAATTTTTTGTTAGTTACTTTTTATTTAATTAAATGTAAATTTAAATATTGAATTTTTGTTTTCATTTACTTTTTATATTCATATAATAATATAAAATTTGTTTGAAACACTTTTTTAA